CCATTGGCTAAAGACAATGTTCCAAAGGTGTTGATACATTGCAGTAGTCAAAACACTTTAACTAAAACATACAAAAAATGTATATCAGAAAGTATAGGCAAGTAGGAGTTAGACATTCTTTGGTGAGAAAATTAATTAAGGATGTAGTCATTCATATATATACGACCGAGCTATAATTTTCTTGATCCATTTACTAAGCCACTAGCCAGAGACTTAGTAAAAGCAACCTCGAGAGGAATGAGGTTGAAACTCCTTGAGTAAGAGTTCCGACAGCGGCGGCAACCCAATCTTACGTTAGTAGAACATTAACCTCAAGATTCAATGGGTAACAACAAGTTATTTATTTGGATGTTTGTCGAACATTTTATGATAATGTGGACCTTTAACATGAGGGTTAAGTTTTATTTAAACTCTTAATGAAGTTCAATACCGAGGGTATGTATCTCATGGAAAAGGATACAATATGAACTTCACCTATGTGAATTTCAAGATGGTGTCATCTCAAAGTGAGAGTTGGAGTTTCTCACATAAAAAATTCATGAAACAGGAAAGCATATGGCCATAAATAAGTGCTAGGTGAGAAATGTAGGCAAAGAACCTTAAAGAATGTGCGTAACGCCGGTTTATTCATATGGATTAATGGTTTAAAAGCACTGCTACCTAACATTCCGATTAGACTTTGTGTTGTCTTTACTAAGGTTAAGTTTTAAATCGAAAGATACCTAACTGTACTAACATTCTTTATACTTCATTTTCTAGAATTAGACTTGTCATTATTAGAACAAGTGGAGGATTGTTGGAAATTAATGGACAATTAATGCCCATGGGTGTGTTCAAATATGACAAAATTAAAGAGGATAAAAGTGCCCCATAGATAAAAGTGAAAATTGCCTTCAAATCTGTCTGAAGGAATTTTGGTCAATTTTACACTAAACATCCACCAGTGGAATGTGCCTTTGATCTGTCTCAAGAAAATTTTGGTCATTTTTTGCACTAAAAGTCCACCAGTGAAAGTTGTCGTTAAATTTGTCTCGGGCTACTGAAAGTTTGAATTTCTAATTCAAAATATACAACACTTCGTGAAGTGTTGCTTTAGAATGAACATAGGCAATGCTTGGAAACAATGCAATTTTTGGTTAAACAGCGTTGTTTCATCAAGGGTTGCAACCTTGTGAAACAACACATACATGACCTATAAATACCTCATTTCGGAATTCAGAAAATATCATCACAAATCAAATATTCTCTTGTACAAAATTTCAGACATTCTTCGCTACATAATCGAGTTTTCGTCGGTCTTTCGCAAATTCGATATAGATTTAAGGCTGAATTATCTTGGATATTCCTGCGTTCCAACTGTAAGACATATTTGAGAGTGCTTGAAATACTTTTAAAGAAAGTGGTTTCGTTCACGATTATAGTCTCGATCTATTCGGTTTAAATTAAATTTCTAACACCTTCAACATTAATACAAACAAATCAATCCAAACTTCTTCCATCAATGCTTTGATATAATGTCACTCTTTCTAAACCTATCTCATTAATGCTTTTCCAAAACCTATCTCATCAATGCTTTGATATTATGTTACTCTTTCCAAAAACCTATCTCACAAATCTTTTTATTGTAGAAGTTTAATATGTTGAAGTTTTTTACTCCATCCACAAACATCATCAATTCTTTATTTTTCTTAAATTTTCGATTTGGTGTTTTTATCTTCTTCTATTATCAACAATTGGTGTTCAAATCTATTTCTCTTATACTATGTAAAATCACTTAAAATCTTGATTTTATCATCTGGTGAAGATCAGTCGCTGCTTGTCGAAGTCAAATTCATTTTTCGTCAAAAAAAATGAATTGAATCATTTTATTGTGTCTTTTTTTCAAATTTAATTTTGATTTAGTGTATCATATATTAAAACTCATGTTTTTATGTTTGTCTTCCATTTTTTCTTTAGATTTTAAAAAAGATTGTTCATTAGCTTTTGGATCTGGAACCAATAACAAATCTAAAGCATGATATCTTCAAACTTTAATGATTTTATATTTTATTTTCATATTGAGAGCTAAAAAAAATATGTGGACAAAATTTTGCATGTCCATAAAAAATTCGTTTAGGTTTCATCCCTTTAAGTTGTAAAATTAGAGAGTAATTTATATTGTATATATTTTATTATTCGCAGTCACAGATTTAAAGAATATGTGAAAAAAAATATTGAGAGTTTGAATCTTAATAGTGTATCTACAATTTTTTTTAAAATATCAATGCGAGTTTTATGAACTCAAAAGAAAAAGATAATTTAATTATCATTCTCAAAATATGCTGATTATATTGTGGTTTTTTATTATAATGCAGATTTCTATAATTTTAACTATCTTCATCAATTTAGTGATTATTTTTCAACAATATTGATTTTGATTGTACCCTAAAAATATGAGATTATTCAGATTTAATGTAATGTGCTTTCATCGTGAAGATAAAAAAAAATTATTATTGATTCTAATATTTTTGTAAATAATATTAAAACAAAAATAATATTTTAATATATATATATATATATATATATATATATATATATATATATATATATATATATATATATATATATATATATATATATATATATATATATATATATATATATATATATATATATATATATATATATATATATATATATATATATATATATATATATATATATATATATATATATATATATATATATATATATATATATATATAAAGCAATAAATGAGGGTTGGTTCATGTAGTAACTCTCAATTCAAAAGTTTGCCACCTAGATTGTGTCTAAAGGGAAATCTCTTGAATTATGCTTTTTGGTACGAGTGATTTGGAAGAAACCTTATGAGATGCTATGAGAATGCTTAATCTACTACCATACACTATTGAAACTCAATCTCAGTGTGGGCGATGACCTACATTTACTTTTGAAACACACTTTTTTATTAAAAATGTGAAATTTTATTAAAATTCTAAAAACAAATTTAAAATATATTTTATCTGTTTTAGTCCTCAATTATATTTTTCTCTATTCAATTTCTTCTATACAATAAAAAAAACTATAAATCAGAAGCTTAAAAAAATAAACAAAAAAATATTTTGAAATGCGTTTTCAAATTTGATAAATTCATATGAAACTATTTTGGAAAGAGATATAAGGTTGCCTGCAGTATTCTCTTTTTTTCGTTTGAACTCTATTAATTTTTCCTATATGTAGTACATTTTTACTAGATATTTATTTCTAATAAAAAAAATCTTTAGATAAACAATAACTTGTTTAAAAAATAAATAAAGATATATTTGATTAGTTAGTTGTTGTTTGTCTAACTGTTATATTAGTTAATTGTTATAATTAACTATAAATGTATTGTATTTCTTGATGTAACAATAATATATTCTGTTATTATTCAATATTTCTGTTCTAGTTCATGGTTTCTAATTTTTAAAAAAAAATATTTATCTTTTAATTGAAGTTCTAATTTGAATTTGTTCTTTGTTTCATGCATTACTATAATACTTTAATTTCCTAACAATAATGCGGAAAAAAAAGTAAGAAAATTACATGATCTATATTACATTATTTGATGAATGAAATTCAAAATATTAATCAATGTTAAGTTGATCATTAGGGCAAAGGTAACAATCAATTTGAAGAGTTTTACAAATAATATAGGTGAGTGTTTGGTAGTAATGAATGCTAAGGGGTAGTTAATTAGTTAGTTAAAATGGTGCTGGTGGCATAGTGTGATTGTGATAAAATACGAGTGAAGTGTGGTAACAATAATGAGGCGATAAGAAAAGTGGTGGATGATAATTGATAATAATGGTAGTGAAATGTTTAAGTAAGTAGTAGATTGTAGATACAATGGCAATAATAGCTGTAATTAGAAAAGTATTATGAAGAATGATTAACGTGAGAAGAGGGAAAGATAATGGAAAGGTAGAAGTGACGTATTGGCAATGCTACATGTTGGAAAAAAAGTGGTAGAGTGATAACAATAATGATGTTAAGAGTCTTGTGCATGACAAATTGATGCACAAATTGTCACGTTGTTAATGCAGTACAATACCTTTAAAAAATCGTGTCTGTGTTTATGTGGATATTTCAGATTTGTACTAACATTTATAATTATATTTAATTTATTTATTTTTTAAAATTATTATCAATATTACCATGTCAGTGCAACAGATATTTGTGATTCATAACATGTATGGTATTTAAATTATTTATAATATTAAATTGAAAGGATTTAGAATTCCAAATAAGAGATCATAGATCTAAGAGACTTTATTCTTAGGTGGCAAGGAAGTTGACTTAAGAACTAATGTTTAGATATGAAGTGATAATAAAATCTTGAAAGGGAACAAACACCATATGAGCAATTTAGCTGGTAGACATAGCTAAGAAATCCAACAAATTCTCTTACAACCAACCCAACACAAACAATTTAGGAAACTACAGTATATTTGAAGTACTTTTGAATAGAATATACTTGAGGTCCATATACTTGGATATACATTACATAGGAATACAGTCATGACAACCTTATCTAACCTATTAAGAGGAAAAGAAAAAGAAAAAATAAAGGAGAAAAAGAAAATTCTCTACTTTTTCAAATGCTATCTTTGTTTTTTGTTTTTCTTTTTTTCTACGGCTTACGAAACAGACACCAGACACGACAATAACACAAAAAATTTGATATTTGTAATAATTTATGAATGTGACTATATGTGTCTGTGTTAGACACTCGACATTTTTTTAAAGTGTCGTATCGGGTGATTCATAGCTAGGAGGTTCAAGAAGAATGTATCTGACCACAACAAAAGCAAAAGTATGAAAGTCTACACATGTGCAGTGTTGGGTGCATCCTCCAGAAAAACAGACCAAAAAACAAAACCCATTTTACATCTATAGACAAAGCAAGCTTCACAGCTCACCCATGTGTATCTGATGATTGAACTTGCATCTTAGGTTTTTCACTTAAGTATCATCGTGAGCATTGATTCCATTTTCTCTTTGTCCCTACACATGCTAATAAAATCCAAGTACTTCATAGCATCACGAGGTTGAAGCCCTTCAAGAAAAAACTTGAGCAAACGACCATGTGTTTCTAGCATCACATCAAAACATTGATCTAATGCATTCTCCTCTTGCTCTTTGCTTAACTCCAATGCCTCCATTAGTGGAAGTAGTTCCACTTCCTCTTCCTTGAAATGTTGTTTAGATTGCCCCTAATAACAAATTAACAGAGATGTCAAGGCACAAGGCACAGATAAAAAAGGACACTAAGAAATCAAAGATGCAAAGAATAATAACTAACTAACACCTAACATTTACCATTTCAAAAACAAACAATTCAAGTGTGTGAAACTCTTCAAAATTGATTAAAGAGTCAAGTAATGAAATTTAGTTATTTTATCATATCTATAATTTATTATGAATTATGATCTCTACAAGGTGAACTTACTTGCAATAACTTGAGACGAGAAGAAAGATTGTTCAAGGCCTCTCGAGAATCCGAACTTCCCGAGTCCAAAACACCAACCGATTTAATGATTTCTTTAATACCATTCATGAGAGGCAAGTCCCTAGCATGTTCCTCCTTTGCAGCTTTAGTAAGCCCTGCAAATTCTCCCCAAAAAAAGCATTACTTCAAACGCAAGTAAACTTACTTTCTCAAGGCATACCATAATAAAATACTACTTTACTCAACACAAAACACTAATTTCACATCACTTCTATCTTCTACTTCACATTCTCACTTTTCACCAAAATTAATTTGCAAATTCTTCTCAAAACATTACATACTCAACAGTCACGACACTTGTAATTACATTTAATTTATTATTTATTTAAAATTATTATCAGTAATGACGTGTCAGTGTCAGTCTCAAGTTTCTATTATCTTATCTGAGCTTCATCGAGTTTGAAACCATACTTCAGCGAGTTTCGGATTAAACTTCTTATTAGAATACTGAATTAATTTAACATATACTCCAAAATTGATTTCATGATCGCAAAAAAATTGTTACCTCTATCAGCAATATCAAAGAAAGGGAAAAGAACAGTCTCTTCCATTCGAGCATGTTCCATCATAACCTCCAACAACGCCGAATAGCTGGTAGCGAATTTCCTTATCTCCATCCTCGGAGTTCCAACAGACGGATCAACGGCCTTCTTCCCTCCACGTGCCACAAGATCCTCCGCCCACCTCAAAACCCTCTCTACATGCCACAGCATACTCTTATGCTGCAGCCTCATCACCGTCACCATCACCGCCACCTTTTCCTCCTCCACACCACCACCAACCACCGGACTCGGAAACCGCGCGTCAATGAACCGCAACAACGTCTCCCGTGAACCAGTAACAACTTCCGATCCAACCTCAAGAGTGACGTCAGTGTCCGATCTCCGAGCACCATTCGCCGGAGCTTCGTCGGAGGGAATAAAATCCAACGAAACGGATTTGTGAAGAAGCGCGAATCGAATATAAGCTGCCAGAATGCTTTTCGGTGAACCGTATAATCGGACGGTTGGATAGACTTTAGCTCCGTCACGAGGTACAATCTCAGCCGTTAATTTCTCCGACTTCACACAACAGTTCCCCATTGGAGTATATTATTAAGATAACTGAATTTGTTAGAAAAATTAGGAGTGTGAAAAATGATTATAAACCAAACGAACTCAAAACGACGCCGTAATAATTTGGATTGTAGCAACACCGAGAAAGTGTGAAGGAGAAGCAATAGTTTATGAGTTTGGTTGTCGATGGCTTCAATGTGAAGCGTTGAATGCGAATTTATGTTTGTTTTAAAAGAAAGAAAGAAATTTAAAAGTCTTTTCATTTTCTTTCTTATTTTTGCGTTAAGGAATCTAGATATTAGTGTTGAATTTATAATAGTTTTTTTTTTAATATGAATCAATACTGTACATCAAATTAAATTATTGAATTGACTACACTCAACGTTGACCATTAATTTCTTTATTTTTTATAAATCTTCTATCATGATTAATCTTTAAATTTGATTCCTCATTTTTAGTAATTTTGTAAATTGAGTAAAAAATTTAGTGGTTCTTCAAAATTCAAATATGTTTTACTATCTCATAGAGTATTAGGATTAATTTTTAAATTTGATTTATCATTTGTAATTTATTTTATCTCGTTTTCATCATTTTTTATTTTGTAATATTGTAAATTGCATAATTTTTTACCTCGGACAAATTGCCATCAAATATTTAATAGAATTAATTATGTGGCGGCAATATTTAAGTATGTAGCAATAGAGTGTTGACGTGACCATTTATTTGGTTACCAAAATGTGATACTATTTAATAAGGCTAAACAATCTATTGGTTTGGTTCGAACTAAAATTGAAATTTGATGTAAATTGCAGTTTTATTTTTAAATTTTAATTTTAATCCATAAAATTTTAGTTTTTGATAGATTTATTAAAACCATTTGTCGGATAAATCAAATGAGTTTGATTGGCATAATATTTACTGAATTATAATCATAAAAATATTTTTTTTTATAAAATATACAAACATTCCTTTTTAATTATTTTTTAAAATTTCACAAGCATTCCTTTTTATTTTTTAAAACTATCAAACTTTTAGAATAGACAACAAAATAACTATTTCTTTATTATTTTAAAAAATTATTATAACATGATATTATTTAAAATTAGTTTAGTCATTATCATATTTTAAATCACAAATTAAATAATATATTTTATTTAAATCTTGGTATTTGATTTTACGATCAAATGACGACTAATTTAAGAAAAATTAAATAATACTTATATTGAATGTTTTGTACTGTTATAAATACACAATATCACTGTTAAATAATAAAAATATAATAAAATAACAATATTATGACCCATTTTTATAATGGTTAAATTCTATTGTAATAAAATAAATTTTAGTTGATCAATTAATTTTTAATGGATTTAAAATAATCATTTGAATTTGATTGAAGCAACGTATCCAAATTAAGTTATCAGATCAACCCCCACCACTCAATCTGAATTAATTCATATGCATAAAAAACAAAAAAGATGATAAATTAATCGATTTCAATTATTTAGTTTAAACTAGTAGAATATCCGTGCTTCCGCACGGGTAAAATTAACGTGTTATAATAGAGATAATTTTTTTTTGATATATATAGAAATCATTGCACCAATGAAATAGTAATTTAAAGAAAAATGAATTGCATTGCAATTAAAAAGAATTTATCCAAAATTTCCAACGTATGAATAATATCATAGTTATGAACAAAACTTAAGTGTAAAATCAGCATGTCTTGCAAACCTTAAAATATCAGCAAGATTTTTGCAGGCAATCCAGTTTGAAAGGCATATATATATGTATTTTCAAAGGCATAAAGAATCAAACATTAAATGGCAAGTAGTGATGATGCATAATAGCTCGAAAAATGATTTGAAATACTATATATGTTGTGGTATTTTAGCAATTTTTGAAAACCAATTTGTGAACTGAAAGTTAATAATAATATAAATACAATCCATAAAATAACAATGTCCGTAGAATTTCAATTATTCTCACATGAACCTTATTAAAACACTCAGGTTCGAATCAAATTACTTAGTTCAATTATTTCGTTGGGATAGTTTGAGATCTGACAATTCATGAGGTCTGACAGTTCATAAGGTACAACAGTTAAATTATTTATTTATTGTGTCTATTTCATAGAAAGGTACCACCAAAGCAAGTAATGCAAGCAAGATATTGTGCTACAAATTAACCAAACATGCACCAATCCTATGAACTAATATATGCAGGACAAAAATTTCAACACCCATTCACATGAAAATCAACAAACTTCATCACCCACTCACAATTGAAACCGTTTAGTCTACCCGATGTGGCCTACAATATTGTGCCACAGGGTTTTCACGTTTAACTACCAGATATGGCCTACAACATTGTGGGTGGGTTATCAGTGTCCATAACAGATTTGGCATAGGAAAAAATTCTGAGTCAATAGCCAAAGGGAAAGGGCATGAGATGATCCAAATCTTTTCGCAAATGGAATTGTGACTAATAAAAGTAAGAAGAGCATATTGTCTATTATATTCACAAAGATCTGAAACCAAAAGGTTAATATAACACTGCTTTTAAACATGAAGTAGGTAGTTTCTCAACAGCACACCAATAGATAGAGACATATATAATTTGTAGGTTCTTGAATACAAAACACAAAATAATCATAAGGACTAAATTTGTCATGAACCACCAGTCACGGACTTGTGCGCAGTTTTTCTTCATGATTCTTGTATGCAAGTCTCCGACTTGTTCTTTTAGTGTAGTTGTTGTCTTTCTCCACATCAAAAGAATCTCTCTTTCAAGAAAAAGCATGAAGTCATGATTTTCAATTCTAAAAGTAACATAAGAAAATGTAATGTGATTTCAACATATCAAAAACAAAAACAACATCATGACTTCGAACCTTGTACACGCATGACAACATCCAATATCAAATACAAAATATTTAGGTCCTTGTACACTCATGACAGCATGACAACATACTCAATATATCATAGTAGAGGCCTTATATAGATGGAGATGGAACCCTGTTGAAGAATCCATCATATTTTACTGTTATAGCTTACAACAAATACAACAATAAATTTAACATTGGCCGGTTAAAAAAATGCAGCAGGAGTATTTGAAGAATAAAATGTGATTTGCAGATTCTGTACAACAGAATTTTGAGCAAAGTCTAAGTAAGTGAGCATTAGAAATCATCACCAGACAACTATGAACACTAAAAAATAGAGAATGAATAAAAGCATGTTATGATTTTGGTTCAGAAGAAGAAACATGGGTTACAGAAGAATAAAACAGCTTCAAAAACAGAGATTACCTTAGAGAAATCAAGAAGGAAGATGAATGGATTGAGAGGTAGAGAGTGTTCTTCAATAGGGTGAATGCGTATTTTGGGGAAATGATGAGAGAGAGCGTGAGGTTTGGTTTGTCTGAAATGCAAGAGAGGGAAATTTGATTGTTGGAGGGGGAACATAACATTGTGATGGACTCAAACTTGTGTATTATGTTATATACTGTTATGTCCATTGATTAGTGTAAATGTTAAAAATGAATAAGGGTAATTAAGGGTGTTTGATAATATATCTTAATAATGGGTAGGTATCCACTCAATTTACCATTTCCTTGCTTTTCAATGCTCACATTCACCAATGCATCTTCACCAAAAACACTCTTAGCATAAAGGTTTGCAGCTAGGAAACCACACTCTCCTTCCAATGCAGACCTGAAATAGAGACAGCAAAAACCAAATTAATCAAATTGCCCAGATCCCCCAGCCAAATCAAGACATGGCAATTGCATGAAATGTAAAAATATTAATGACTCCAAATCAAGACATGGCAAATCAGGCAAGTTTTTTAACTGAAAAACATTTTTGCTTCAAAAAACAGATTTCTGGTAGTAGATACTCAAGCACACACAAGATAACAGCCATGAAATATATGCAAGTTAAAGAAACTCACGGCGGAGTTAGGCACTTCATATTTGTAGACTTGATAATGTGGCCCAGAAACTCCCTCTCATCTTGTAATACTGTATTTACAGCAACCTTTATAACATAACATAAAGTCAGTAAAATAATCATATATACAACATCTAATTAATGCAGAAACACATGTTTTGAGCTATATCCCCATCACATTCATGCTCCTTGATGATGGCTAATTTTAGCATTACCTGTATTACAACTATATACTTCTAATATAATAGAATAATATTTATGATGTGAGTTTGACCCTAGTCTAATCAGGAAACTGATTGGAGTGAGGAATGAGTAACTCTATACTGTATTACAACTATATACTTCTAATCTAATAGAATAATATTTTTGATGAATTGCATATCTCTGATTCTGGTACGGCCATAAACAGTTTCCCGTTCACAAAGACAGTCCCAAATTGTGTTAATGCAACATTAAAGAGAAACCTCCCCATTTTTAGCTTCCTTCGAGCAACAAACTTTAAGAGCAGATCCTGAAACACACATCACAGTCACAGATGTCAATTTACTCAATACAGACAAAAATATATATAGACTCAACATGTTACTTTTCGGGTTCATTGACAGGATAATAGATACACCAACTTCAATGTGAAAATAAAATTATATCAATGATCATCAAAGCATATATTGCAGACATAATGATGTCATTCATAAAATCAAACAACATAACTATAAGAGCAGATATTTAAAATTTAATAATAACACAAGGGGCAACAACCCAATAATAGAGATTACGAATCATGAATCCTAACTACCTAGAAGTTGTTTATCACACTGTTTTTAAAAATGAAAAGAGGGATGAGCAATAAAAGGTAAAACCATAATTGTTTTAAACCATTGATTTTTAAAAAACACCAAATGAGAGAAAGAGGAGTGAGATTGATTTACCTTATTTTCCCACTCAAACTCAGCCCACATAGTTCTAAAAGCCACATCAGCACAAGATGCAGGAGCAATATAGTCCATGATATCATAATGACAGTAACATCTAGGACAGATATTAGCAATAACAAGTTGGTTACAAGGAATCATTC